TCCAGGCTAATTTACATAGCCCCGCTTCTTATCCATGCCACTGTATGAATCTCCCACCAGGCTGTCATAAAGCAGCATGTGACATTTTCCGGATTTATTTGGAAAACTTCTCCCAAAATGGATAAAGAGGACAGGAAGGGAAACAGGAATAAAAACAAGGATAGGAAGCCCTGAAGACTATTTGGCAAAATGCCATTTTTTAAATATTGAACTAAATGTGCCTAATTTATTTTTTTTTTTTCAGCAAATCTTGTATATTTTAGTAACTTGTGGAGCTCCTTTTAGGAATTATGAAAGTGAGAGTCCATGGGAAGTCCCCACGATGATCGTGCATGTGTTGAAGAACATGTGTAAAGGCAGGTTTAAGAAAATCACATTTCATGCTATTCATAAATGTCAGTCAGTATTAATGGATAGGTCAGAAATCACGCATCATTAATGAGGGTTTTCTGAGTACAGCGATTGTTCAGAATCATGAGTCGTACCCATTGAATAAATCATGCAGAATTTAAATATCAGCATCATGGGCTTATTAAAGAGATCAGAAGCTATGATGAAAATACAGGTCACACTGAAGCTTCTGGAATCTGTGCCCCCCAGCATCAGAGCGGGGGCCACACAGCGTGACTGATGATGTCCCATCATCCTGCCTTGATGACTCTGATCACCCTGCACTAAAATGCCCAGCCAGGCAGCCACAAAGGGATATTTACTTTCAGCTAAAGGTCATATAACAAGCCAGCGGTCACATGATCTCAGCCCGACCGCAGCGGGGATCAGGAGTTATACCGTGAAAGGCCAGAGGTTGGCAGCGCAGAATGAATTAGAGTAATCATATAATAATGAAGGTTACAAAGTAAAGCTGACCCACCGCCCCTTGTGAAAGATAATCAAAAATATCACAAAATATGCTATTTATTGTTTAGTGTAGCTACTGTTCATCTATGAATGACATTTCTGAGAATGATAAGATCCGCATTTTATTTTTGCTATTACTCCAGAATAAAAACAAGATTTGTTCAGGGTTGTTTGGTTCTGCTGGCAGCCACTTGGGCCGCATAGCTACGCATTACCGAGCTGCTAGCGGGGGTTTGGCTGGCTCCCGATCCGCATCCGGGATCCAGGCTTTCCCAGGAGGCGGGGCTGTAGCGGACGCGCACGCTGCATTCTGAGGCGGAGGGCAGACAGGCGGAGGCAGAGCTAACGGGAGGCACGGGGCGGTCGCATCGGGCAGCATCAGCGAGCCGCGGGAAGACAAGCGAGAGCAAGCGGAGAGAGGGAGAGGGGGAGAACGGAGCTGAACGAGGAGCCGCACAGAGAGGTAACGGCAGCCATCGTTTTCTGCAGTAAAGGGGGTTTGCGGATGTCTGAGTGGTCTGTGTGTGTGCATGTGTGTGTGTGTGTGTGTGTGAGTGGGGGCGGGGTGGGGGGGGGTTATGTGGTTTGTGTGCCGCAGGTATTTGTGCAAGGCTTCCACATCTTCTGTCACTTTTCTAATACATTGTAGCTCCTTCTGGGTCTTTAAAGCACGTCTAATGTCCAGTCAGGATTGAGTGTGGTGCCTGCAGACGTGACGAGCGGCGTGCTCCGGGCGCTAACTTGTGAGCGCCCTCTCAGCTTGCCCTTCGCCTCTCGCGGGCTCTTCCTGAATCCCGTCCCACACTGTCACTTGGCTGCCTCCATGCCTCGGGCAGGTGCGGCGATGCTGGGGGGAAAGTGGGCGGCAGAGGGTCCTACCCGGGGGTCAGAAATGGGAGGCGTTCCCCGGGGGGGGGGGGGGGGGGGCGCTGACCAAACGTGCCATTCATTACAGGGAAAGGGGCACCGGTCACTCCCAGTCAGGGTCTCCGCTGGCAGCTCAGTAGTGTTACTCTGACTCCGTTAGTCCTGCCACCACTTGCCTGACGGCCATTATAAGGGTTGCTGGTGTTCATTACCATTCAGAACCATCATGCAGTTATACAAAAGGAGAAGATGCCCCGCGGCAAACGCAAGCGTGACCCAGGCTTCGTTTCACACGCCTAAATGGCAGCAGAATAGGTTACATGTTACTAACAAGGCTACTAGCTACGCTTCACACACAAGAGTCGTGAAATGCCAGTGTAATGCTACGCCTGTGCTTCTCATTTTCACACTTGTCCATTCTTGAGGGTCTGTCACTCTCTGGCATGATAAGCGTCTATTTGTTTCCATGGTAACCCCTTTTAATCTCTCCCCCACCCCCCGTCGACCCCGACAACCTCCACCCGGACCTATATCACCTTCGCCCCCCCCTCCGGCGTGTCCCCCCATTCAGCCAGCACGTACAATAGGGCTGTCGCACAATTAATCAGCCAGCGTTTTGCACCTGTGGGGGGATGGACAGAGACCCCAGATGTCCAATTTGTTTTAATTTGAATTAATGTATTCCACACGCCAGCAAAATTAAAAATGAATGCTGCTGGCTTCCTCGAGGTTTAATGTGTGTTTTTTCCCCCACAACAGTTCTGATTAGAATTTGTGAATTCAGAGTTCAGACAGGCTTGTGGGTCAGGGACCCCCCTACTTTGAATCGGCAGACTTCTGCATAATCAACAGTCCCCAGGGTAAAAAATAAATAAAAAATGCACTTCTCCATAAACCAGGACCAGAAATGCAGACCAAAGGCTCCCATTGTTTCATGACTGGGGTATCTATAGGGGGTTTTATAAATACTAAAATCATATCTGAATTAAAGGAAAGTGCTGTGTCAAACTTGGTGTATATCAGTGCGCACCACAGCAGATTAAATGACATTGCACTGGGAGCGGTTTCTCTGCTGTCTATGCGGTCAGCGTTTTATAATGAATTGCTTGGGTCGATTTAGAATGGAAATGTGTGCCAGTGCTGAGAATCGGGTCCGAAGCGTTGATTTATTTCTCAGGTGTTCATAAGTAACCTCTTGACTGCAAATGTGTAATGCTTGCAGAGTGCAATGGATGCCATCTTGGGAAACTTGGATTCGTTTATGTGTCCAATTTGGAGTGATTATTTCAAACCAAGTGAGGAAAATTAATATAACAAAATAAGGAAGGATAATTTATTCTTGAAACCCGGAACCCTGTTTTATGGTTATATTTTGAGTGAAAGGTCTTTGGTTCTATAGTCTCACAAGCTGACCAGAACTGTTCTTTAGTCAACCTGGCATGGTTAACAGATTTTGCCTTAACAAAATGCAATACAGCATTGTGTAATTGGAAAGAACAACAGTGAAACTGAACGATCAGTCGGGCGATGCTAATAAGGGAACTCATCTGAAATTGAAAACCACCAATCAGGGAAACACTACAAAGAGAATTCTTTTGAGACCCGCCAGCCAGGGAACTTTATCGAGGTGTCTCATCCATCTCTTACTGAGTAACCACAAGCCAAGCCCATTCAGCATTTTCAGTGACCCGTATGACCACAGATGTCATACAGGTGACAATGAGTCTGATTAAATCAGCATCCTCTATATTAGGGCTTCACAACCCCTAATGTTCCCACTGGGCCACAGAACGCCAAGGTTTTATTACGGGATCGTATTGAGAAATAAAATGCTGTCACGTATCGATCCACAAAAATATGTGATTCGTCTCGTATTTCAATACACATTGCATTCCCCAACCCCCCAACTCAAAATATGCTATCGATGGGACTCTCCCCATCAATCAGCAAAAAGGATATACTGTCTCATTCATGTGAATGGATCATGTTTGGCACCAATGGCAGAAAGTGCAGAGACTACGCCCACATGGGCTGCTGTTGCTGATCTGTAAGTCCGCAAGGCTGCAAAATATTATTGGACTGGTCTGACCTGGGAAACAGAGGAAAAGGGGAAAAATCACATACGGAAGTAGGAATGGATGAGACAAAAAAAGGAAATGATGAATTAGGCTGGTGGCATGATAGCTCAGGGGGTGGTGGGTGGGGGGGCTGTAGCCTCGACCCCCTGCACCTCAGCTCTGTGTGTATGGAATTTTCACTGGGTCATGAGGGTTTGCATCCTAAGACTGCTGTTAGTTAGCCTATAGTGTGTGTGTCTGTGTGTGTGGGGGGGGGGAGCAGTTATATGTATATTACATAGTCGGGAGCAAATGTCCCCACACTGTGATAAAAACCTGTTATTTTGACATTGTTCAAACTATTTTTTCTGTCCCCACAAGGGGAAACTCATTTTCATAAATCCGTGACTGCAATCAAAAAACAAAAAATGCCAAAAGTCTTGCATTTTGTTTGCTTAGTTATGGTTATGGCTGGGTAGGGGTTGAGGTGGTCATTGTTAGGATTGACTACAAACATGTGTGTGTGTGAGTGTGTGTGTGTGTGTGTGCGCACCTCGCAATGGACTGGCATCCCAACCCATCCCAGCTGCTGTCTGGGACAGGATAAGGGGCTGGAAGATCAGTGCAGCCTTTGCTGGCTCCCCGTCTGCTTGAGAAGGAGAACGATAATTATTCACATTTTGTAATCAATAGCATATATGCTAAAAGCCTGAAAATCAGATGCAGCTCATGCGCCCCTTTTGTCTTTTTCCCTCAAGTAGATTATAATATGACAGCCAGACAAGATGCAATTTGCAATGCGTAGAAGTGTTTTCCTGTCAACAGACAATAAGTCATTCACATGCTAATGTTGGAGCCTTTTCCAGGGCTTTAGATGGGGCGTTTGAGATAACATCTACACAAGTTACATATGTCCATGAAACGTCCAGCCCTTTATGGTGGTGTAATTGGATTCCTGTCAGGGGGCAGGCCACAGAAAACTAATATGAAATGCGTATAAATCAATTGAGGACAATCTGATGGTCAGAGATTATGAATTGGCACCACATGGTAAGTGATACAGCCGCTTCAGCATCTTCATTTCACCCAAGTCCATTCCGTTGGAGCAGATTTTGGAGACATGGCTTGGTTGACAGCCGACGTGTTTGTGCTAGTTGACCTACCCAGTTGGGTTTTCGGTTTGACTTACCTCGCTTGTCTCGCCCTCCCCCCTGGCAGAAACCGGACACATCGACCCTGTTCTCATCGAGAGGTACAACACGCCAGGCTTTGTGGGCTGTTTTTCACGGGTGCAGTTCAACGGCATCGCCCCCCTGAAGGCCGCTCTGAGGTCGCAAATTGCCGCCCCCGTCTCCGTTCAAGGGAAGCTGGTGGAATCTAACTGTGGGGCCTCCCCTCTCACCATCCCACCAATGTCTGCCGCCACGGACCCCTGGCGCCTGGACTCAGGTAGGAGTCTGATTCATTCATTCATTCAGGTAGGAGTTTTCTGATTCATTATCTAACAACACAAGTTGTGGTATATAAACAAGGTTGTTGTTTGCGCTGAAATTCCACTTTTCAGCCATTTGGATATTTTGGATGTTCTAAACACCGATTGGGCCGAAAGAGGCTCCATGTTCAGCTGTGGAGCTGTGGTATCTTTACCGCAGAGTTTCCAGAGAAATTTTGCTATCTGAAGTGCAAATGTCACAGCTTTGGTGCACCGTGTGACCTGCACACTACCGTTCCTTGTCATTAACTGTTTCAAAAATGCTACCCAACCCAAACCTCTCTACATCCCTGACTGTTACACGCTCAACTGAGTCAAATCAATCAAACAGCTGTTCATCATTTTTCTTGTCTTAATTTGTGAGGCTGAAGCTCCTCTGACCCTTAAGACGGTGACAGGTAGATTATTAATAGCATCTTTGCAGTACCTAGTTCCCTTTCCTTAGCCGACACTGTTCCCCTTTAGAAGTCTGCTGCAGTCCTTCGAACCTATTGATCGAAAGCTTAAATGAGCTGCACGGTGAAGCATTTGCCTAAGACAGAAGATTTGTAGGCCTCTGTCTCCCAGTTGATGTCGCAGTTTATAGCAACACGCTATTAGCTTTATTGTTTTGTGTGCTGTTTGCATTGCAGTTAGAAACCAGTTACTCATTAGTGATTCAACATGGCTAAGCACAGTTCCTAAATCTGTCTCTTTCTGCAGGGGTCAGATAGGATTATGTTTATATGTTTTTTTCCTACTGGTTGTGCGAACAGTTTTTTGTTGCTTGTGTTTTTGCGCTCTGTGTTCCGCGAGCCTTGGTACACACTGTTGCTGCCCTGCAGTGGCCTGGGTTGTGGGGGACAGGTCGGTGTGGTGGATTAGTGCAACTCTGGCCCGTGCTTGACTGTGTGCGCTTGGGTCGAGGCCAGCTTCTTAGCCGTGGGAGCGTTAGCGCTCCATAAGCTAGGTTGTGTTCTCCTCCTGCTCCCGGCCTGGAGAGCCCGCAGCCTTGGCACTAAGTGGACCGGGTGCAGACTCACACCTGCTCATTCACTGCTTCATATACAGGCAGTCCTTGACTGATGTAAGCCACCTGTTCCACAAACCATTACGTAAGTCAAATTTTACGTAAGTCGGATTTACCTTCCCATAACATTCAACACACCTTATAGCAAAATGTCACCTTCATACATTAGCGTTTCTGTAAACTGGATGTATCTTGGATATTTTTTTGTACAAGTCTGTTTTGCCTTAGTCACGAGCAGTAGTTTGTAGCCCGTAGTTCCTTGCTGACATTTTTAGGTTCTTGTGGGACGTGATGCATGTTTCTGTAAAGAGATGAATGTTAAAAGCGTCGCCCTGTAGACCTGAAGGTTATACTCCGCCCGGGAGGTGTTAGGATGACATTTCACACTAGACGTGATCTCGCTGGACATTTCCATGCCATGTGAGGGTAATTACAGTGTTGTGATACTTAATTAGGAGGCGCGATGCACAGACACGCTTCAGCTAGCTAGTGGAAAGCTACACTTAAACAAACACATGACATATGACTGCCCATGTAAGCAGCAGTCCACTGACAGATATACTTTAAAGCCACACCCGTTTCTTGTGGCTCTCATGTGACTGAGCCGCAGCAGGGTCTGGACGATACCCAAGTCTCTGTTGGGGCTGCATTCCTTTCACGCCACGGTTTAAGGAACGACCGCGCTCCATTTCATCCAAACGCCACTAAAAAGCCACAGAGGGCTGTCATACCCCACAGCCCCCCCCCCCCCCCCCCCCCTCTGATTTGGGTTGGCTTTGGAACGTCAGGTGGCAGAGAGATTAAAGCCTGGTTCTCCATCACTGCCCGTCCCTCGCTTTCTCTGCATTGCTGATTACCCAGAATGCCACTCTGATCCACCCCCCCCCCCCCCATGACATGCTCCCCACAGACCGTCTGGCAGTGATCTCTCTCGCTGCTAATCAGATGTGAATTTCTGCAGTCTGGGCAGGCTCGGTTCTTAAAAAAAAATAGAGGGAACAGAATAACTAATTGCCTTGTTATGTTCTTTCATGGGTTAAGCCTGCGGAGATTGTTCAATCGGGTTTTATGGTAATCGCACAACCCAGTGTAGCGCAGGCTTTGTGTTGATTTTATTCTGTAATGCTTTTGACTACCTGCAAAGCAGTGGCGTGTATGTGGCCGCTAGCCGAGGATTTGGAGACGGGAAGTCAGTGTTTGTGACTCACCGTTACATCCTGATATGCTCCTTCTGCGAGACGTAAAGCGGACTTTCTATTCATCTGAAGCCATAAGACAGGTGACAGCTTAGTTGAATTTTCCCGAGTGAGAAGATTACACGGTTTTCAGAATGACTTAAAATATCATTTTGGAGAGAGAATTATTTGGGGGAAAAAAAAACTGAAATATGTTTTTACTGTTTTTCTTTGTATTATTTTTCAGCTGGTGCCGACTTCCCATTCAATGAGGAGCGGGTTATACCCGATGGAGTGAACAGGAATTCTGCAATAATTGGAGGCGGGTTTAATTCTGTATCGAATGTCCAGTTTTGTCTGGTGACTGAACAACAATATCATCTGATACGTTGTCCGATGTTGACAAATGACTTGGTTCCATCCCCCCCCGTGCAGGTGTCATCGCCGTGGTGATCTTCACAATCCTCTGCACGCTGGTGTTCCTGATCCGCTACATGTTCCGTCACAAAGGCACCTACCACACCAACGAGGCCAAGGGGGCAGAGACCGCGGACAACGGCGATGCCGCCATCATAGGCCATGATCCTACTTTCACGGAGACCATAGACGAGAGCAAGAAGGAGTGGTTCATCTAACAGGACAATGCGAGAGAGAGAGAGAGAGAGAGAGAGAAGGACGTGTGCATAGGCTGGGGGGGGGCGGAGGTGGGCTTCAAAAACTCTGCACACTTTCCAATAAGCTTCTGAAGACTGGGACGAGCAGAAAATTTGAGGAATGCTGAGTTTTCCCTGTTGAGTGACTTTTGTATTGTGGCCGGCCTATCTTTAATGTTGCGGCATGTTTTGGAGTCTGAGGTGTCATATCAGTATTCGTGTCACATTGTAAGCACATCCAGTCACCACCAGACGGATCTGCAGTGCTCTATTATTCATTTCACACCTAGGCATCTTAGATATACATCGCACATTTGATTTTCTTCCAGAAGCTTCTGAGTGAGTTTTCAGTACAGAGAACAGTATAGTAGGAGGTTTTCCAGCAGGGAGATGCTGAATATTTTTGTTTTGCAAATGATACATGTGGAAAATAGAGATTTATAGCACATACAGGACTAAAATGTATTCGTATAGATATTGGTCAGTTCTGAAAGGTAAATATGGTCGCTTGGTTCAAGGTGGCGTTGAACTGTCATTAGGCTCATCCAGCAAACATCACTGATTCTGTCTTTGGAGAACATTCCTGTTTCTATAGATGGTGCACTTTTTATTTGCCAAAAATAGTTTTTTAAGATTTTTTTTTTTATGTGAAACTGTCGTTTTTTTTAGATTTTTTGGGAGGTTTACATAACTAGAGAAACTGTGTGCCAAGTTCCACAGTCACACGTGAACCAAGAAATTGGACAAGTCCAGTACCCTGCTTTGGAATTCAGCCACTTAGACCTGTCTGTGGCTTTACACCATACAAGCGTAAGGGGTTCAGAGAAGTGAAACACAAAAAGGGTGCAGGGTTTATATAGGACATTTATGCGAAGGAGTGTTTTTTGTATTGTCTGTTTATATTTACTTTACACATTTGCGTTATGCTCAGTTTCATTGTGTCTGTGGACCATCTGCATGAATTTTACCACCCTAGTGATTCCTCTTGTTTTTGGACAAATGCGTGGCTCCATATCTGAAAATCTATATCTCCTTGAATTTGTTCTGACGATAAGAATGTTGCGGACAAAGCTGGTGTAATATATCTCCGTATGTAGCAGACGCTGCACAAGTGACTGGAGAGCAATTACGCTTAGGGGCCTTACATTGTTTTGATTTTATTCCATCATCTAAATTAACCGTCTAAGAAGTACGTGAAATATTTGCCATTCTAATGTTCCAGTTCCAGAATTTACCAAAAATTTGAGTAAAATGTGGATATTAGTCAGCATCACTGTTGCACTGCTAAGCCCATCCTGTCTTGAATGCCATGCCTGTAAAGAGGTCCATCCCCCCCCCCATATTTCCCTGTCATTCCTGGGAACACCCTCAAAGCTCTTGGTGCTCATGAGCCTGTGCTATTGAAAAGTGGATGTGAATTCAAGCCGATTGCAATGGATGGGCACGGTAGCATGGGAGAGCAAGGCAAACTGAGTATTGCAGCACATATCATTAGCAGTCAATAAATGTTTTCATCTGATGTTCTTGTTTGGTGGACAATGTGCCGTTCACACTGCAATGAGCCCGCTCATGGGAATTTTACTAAAACAAAATCATCTGAAAGCAGCAGGAAAAATGATTGGTTCAGAGAGATAACCAATCATATCAAACAGAAGGTAGGTCCAAGCAACTAGAGGAGGCAGGACCAACCAATCAGTCTCTCCTAGTTGTTTGGACCGACCTCCTTTACAATCTGATTGGTTATTTCTCTGAACCAATCATTTTTTCATTCTCCCCATAGAACATTTTTTTTGTGTAAGTAAAACTGCCACAAGCGATGAGCCCCCCCTAGGTTTATACGGGTAAAATGGGGGCACGGCTTCCCTTTTCTTTCTAGAATGCACTGGCTGAGCTGTGTGTGTCTGCTCTTATCTCTGCCCTGGCAGAGGCAGCTCATGGGTGTTTTATTTACACAAAAAAAATTCTGAGGGCAGAAGGAAAAAAGATTGGTTTAGGGAGATAACCAATCAGATTGTAGAGGAGGTGGGTCCAACCAATCAGATGTCTTGGTCCTACCTCCTCCAGTTGCTTGTACCCACCTCCTCTACAATCTGATTGGTTATCTCTCTGAAGCAATCATTTTTCGTTCTACCCTCAGAACAATTCTGTATAAATAAAACTCCCACGAGTGCAGAGGCATGCCTGCCATTTGATATCACGCACCCCACACACACACATTCTGCATCAGAAGTACCACCTGGTACTACAGCAGATGGGTCCCCTGATGGACCTCCCCTTGTTTAGCTATGACCAGTTCAGGATGTCACTCCAGCTGCTCGGCCCTGCCAATCTCCACCAAGATCTCATAACAAGATCCGACTTCTGCATCAATACGGCCCCGTTTCAAGGCAGCACAACCACACTCTCCTGAGACACAAGAGAACTCACACTGCAGGATCACACTTATGCCAGCTCAGGCGGGTCCCTTGCAGGTGGTACCTTAATTAAAGGCTTCAAAAATCCCGGACGACTTACATAAATCAGTGCCAGTTCCATTTAGCTGGTCATTGACAGTTAGCCTGTCCTGTAGGACCCTGGTGGCAATCAGGACGAGAGCATCTCTTATGCACTTACTGAGCAAAACATGTCCATCGTGACTGTGGCACATGAAGTTAATCACAGTTCCTCTCATTTCGCCAATGAGGAACATAAACAGAAACTTAAGCAGAACATTTTCAGACCACCCTGGGGTGTCTTTCCCAGAAGCTCCCTTTAGTAACTTGCGCAGTTGGATCCACTTAGTTGCATGATTCCAACTGTGTAAATTGTTACCATTTTTAGCAACTATGCTCTTGGGAAACATATCCCTGTTGAATGATAATAATTGTGTTTCTGCTGTTTGTCAGTGGGGGAATAAGGGATTTTGGAATCGGTCATCTATGTGTTCTTTCATTAAACATATTTGCATTCTCTTTTAGCTTAGAGGCCACTAAGGAATGGGGTGACGACTGAAAACTGCAGCTACAGTACAGGCCACAGTCATAATACTAGTTATGTCACTATTGTCCCCAAATACAGGAGTGTAACTCACATTCCAGAACACAGAAAACAATTATTAAACAATTATGTTTAGACTGGTATTATTTTCTGTGAAGCACATGTGGAATGACCATGACATATTATGACATTACGACTGTCAACTAAAGCACTTAAGTAAGAAATAAAAAACATTGGCAGAAAATCTCGCTTGAGTATATTTGGTTTTTGTTATGTTACAACTCGGTCAAAATGCAATTATATGCATGTGTTTTATAGAAAGTATTATCAGTAGCATAGTCAGTTGCATTTATCAGTATTTTTACAAGAGGTTTAAGGTTTCTCAATATATCAGGTCTCAGTTGGATTATTTGAAGGGTTTCAATAATATATTTAAACGAAATACAACCGTTCTCTTTACTCGAGTATGGCCTGTACGTATTTTACACAAGATTGATAAACTACAACCATCCATCCATTTCCTATACGCACTTGTCCAAATCGAAATAAATATGCACCTGTTTAAAAACAGTAGGTGAGGTAAACAGCCCAGATAACTTAAACACTGGTTTGATAACTGACTGTGTCCAGATAATCAAACTTCTCCAGTTAAAATTTTTTTTTTAAAGAAATACACATGTGTTTTCACTAGGCATAAAATATCCCGTCCAAGGGTATTTCTTTTCGTTTTTTTTAATCGACCGGAAAATTGTTGTAGTTCCACTGACCGTCATATTTTTATATATTTTATACAGTGTGGTATTTGTTCTCGCCTGTAGTTTGTGTTTAAATTATTTGGTTAGTGCTAGAACTCTATAGAATGTAGCAATTATGATGATTATGACATGTCCGTCATTATACCCTTGAAAAGATTTGTTTTAAAAAGTGAAAAATACATTATTATTTTACAGAATAGTATTTCCGGTAGGATATCTTGTTTTACTATGTACATATATTTTAAGGAGATATTTTATAGAAGATCTATATATCCTCCAGTTTATGTTGGGGAATGATTTCCCAGTGGATAAGACGAATCATTTGTTCTCTGTGTGTTTTTTCTTCATTTTACTTTATCATTATATTTTTGCTCCAGGCTATGGTCTGTCCCATCACTTTATCTTTCTTTATTGTTGTGACATTATGATGATATGCATTGTTTGCTTTGTTTGCTTGTTTGTTTGTAATCAAGCCGTAATTATAATATATATTTGGGGAGACACGTCCCTCCCAATATTCAGATGTGCTCATAATGTCCCCCCAATATATATTATAACTGCAGCCTTGGTCCCCCCCCCGTGTGGGTTCCATGGCAGTACGCCTTGTTTGCAATGTCCCCAGATCTGGGTACAGAACATCCCTTGAAAAGGCAGCCATTAACCACATGGCGACGATCAGCTGGAGGAAGCGCAACATTGTTGCTGTTTGACCGACTACGTCACATGTTTGACAGGGCTCTGAGAAGCAACCGCCTCAGCAGCAGAGATCGTCTTCGTCATTCGTACCTTACAATCCGTTGGAATCACGGTATAAAAGCATATTCAAGAAAGGGTAAATATGAAAGTTGGAAAAAGGGGGAAACTTTTCAAATAATAAAATTACTGGATTTGCCTCATATACTGTATAGATATAGTACAGCTTATATTTAAACTGTGATTTTTACATATATAAAACTGAATTGAATAACAGGATAAATAATGTGGGGTTTCAATAAATATGTGAAGTATATTATCTACACGTTTTGTCTTTCTAACTTTCATGCTAAGACTTTATTCCAGTTACTTGTGTATTTTGTTTTTTTTTGCTTCTATTGGCAGCATGAGCACTATATGTGAAAATGTACATATTGTACTGCAGACAGTTGTGGAGATCATACATTATTCTTTGGAAATTATTTTTTAACTTTCCTACAATATACACTTGGCAGACGTATCTGAATCATGGTTTAAGTGCCATTCAGTAAATTTATGTCATTATTTTTGATAGACTGTATTCATGAGATCATCACATCGTGCCCAGAAACTGCACAAAGTGTATGTGTTTATATATATATATATATATATATATATATATATATATATATATATATATATATAAAAAGTATGGATAATTAGCAAGGAAGACTATTTATAAATCCTTTATACATATTTTTAAATGAAATATCTTGAAATATTTAACCGATGTCTTACTTCTTTGGAAGAAAATAAACAGGGCAAACTTGTTGAAAACGTCGACGATCAAAAGAGAAAAAAAAATATGAGTGGCGTTTGTAATTTCAACTGATTTTATATTCTTAAGGAGCTTACGTAATCTGTCGAGCCTTACCCGAAGTATGTAATGTGGTATCGTCTTAAGTAATAACATTAAAAGAGCCTTACCATAAATTACTTGTCACCTCTTTTTAACACAGCACGCATCACGATCCGTCAAGAATAATTAAATTATAAAAGAGAAAAAGTGTAGCCTGCAATACAAAGACAAGAATGCTCATATTTTACAAGATAGCCCCACAATTAATAAAACACTACTTACGGTAAAGGTGTTCATCTGAAATTATTTCGATTAAAGTATTCAAAACATAGTCCTGGAATATAAGTTTAATATTCCTTTTCTGCGAAGGAAAAAAATCATGACCGATGACTGTGATACAGTAGAAGTCCATTTTATGTAGTTTATTGACATGATCCCCTGTATTAAATTACTCTAATATTTTTTAAATGCTTATGCCGTTTTTAGCTATTTACGATTAAGTGTATATGAGTACACAAGCATTTAACTCTTCTTTGTTCTCTATAATATTGTAGTTGTATCCGGAACCACAAGATGGCGACATAACACTTTTATTTTCTTGTCATATTTGAATATAAGATAAGATAATCCTTTATTAGTCCCATAAGTGGGAAATTGCATCGTCAATATGCTCTCTTTGTATGTTATTCTCCTTCTCTGCATCATGTTATCGTTTCTTTATTCTGATATGCGGAGTGCGTATCGCATGGTTATTCTGAACTAGTTATCCAAATATGCGTATTCTTGTTTTTGATACGTGTGGTAAGCACTCAAGCAGAAGTGCATCTGGCGTTTCCTTCACTTCTTAAAAGTTGCTGGAATTCATTAGGAATTTGCGTATTTATTTATAGAATTTTATTTATATACAAGTAAATATGGCGTAGCCTACTGTTCAGTCTCCCTTTTTACTGTTGTTGAAAGTACTTTATATTACTCAATACGACGATAGTCCATACCTTTGTGGTTTTG